GAGAAAAGCTCATAATCTGGTATGTGGAATCTCAGGTGGTCTTTTTTTTAAATTTTTAAAATTATGTTCTGGACAAATTCCTGAGAGTTAAAGACTTGTTTAGTGCTAATGAAATGAGAGAAATGTTGCCGAGCATGTGCTGAGCTCCAGATCATGAACCTTCCCTACCTCCCAATGTCTGCCCCTGAAAGCCGAGGCACTATGTGAGGTGGCAGGGGCCACAAAGCAAGATGCGCAAACACTTGTTAGTGAAACACGTGCGCCTCTGTGATTTAGGTTAGAGCTTGTGAGGTAAGATTTGCGGGATTGGTGGGAGGGTTTGGAGGCATTGAATTAAGTCCTTACTCAGTAACCAGTTCTGGCCCAAGTGATTAGGAAATCTTTGGAAGGAGCAGTAATGTTCCCAACAACTAGTTCTGTACAGAAAAATCAATTTGAGGGCAAGATCACTTTTGACCACTGACTGCAATACAAAAACCCCAAAACCAAACAAACAACAACAAAAAAAACAATGACTACAGAAATTTTAAGAATCCAGTTTCCTCTTTGTAAAATAAAGTAAATCGCTACAAATAAAATTTGCCAGGAGAGGAAACTCGTTTGGGGAGGCAAATGTCTATTTGTATGTATTTTCTTAAAAGTGTAGCCAAACTGAAGGAGGCATCTAAGGGGAGTCAGATGTATTTGTCTTGTATTCACCCTTTCACTGCTCCATTGCTCTAAAATGTAAGGAAGATAATATTCCCAAAGGAAAAAAAAGAAGGTCTGTTAAAATGGACCATAAGAAATTGAGCTATTATCCAAACTAAAGCATAGCAGTCCATCAAACCCTGAATACTTCACCAGACACATCTGGTAAGATGGACTGAACATGCTTTTTCTTTCTTCCTTTTTAAATTATGTTAGCCAATCTAAAAAGGTAATAATAATAATAATAATAAAAAAACCCTGACTCAAAACTGAAATCCAAATCTAGTTCGTTGTGAATTATTGCATAAATAAAAACAACATGTAATCAACAGTTAGTATACTCTCTATAAGGTGCAAAACAAGGGCCTTTCTTGGGAAAGCAAACTCTTAATTTCCACCTACAGTCACATGGAATACTTTATAGGTCAAATGGAATAATAGCATTTGCTTCTAATGCCCATTTTTCAGCAATACATTATTCTCTCTGGAGAAGGTGGTTCGTGAAGTCAAAACACTGCAGTGGAAAACAGTGGCACTGAAGGTAGAAGCAAAAAAGGACAAACTTTTAAAACAGGACTTACTGAAATAAACCTTTAAAGCCGAGGTAGCCCATTAGAATTGGCCTTACACACGAGGGCTCTGTGGAGCAGTGCAATCAAAGGCTAATCTCCTCTGCATCACGGACACCCCGGATTTCCCTTTACAAAGGATGCCTCCAGGTCTGCAGTCTCGCAGTCTTGCAGGACTTCTTCCTCCACACCAAGCATGGTTCTTCTTCTCGCGGGATGGATGCCGGCCTCTGGCCACTAGTCTCCAGAACACTTAGGTTTCATACAGTAGTTTAGCAGGCAGCGTGGTCCCACTGCTTCACATTAATGCCAAATGCCAAACACCGAACAGCTATTTGATCCTCCCCTTCCCCCCACCCCCAATACATGGTATAAACAATAAACATGTCATTCTGTTTTCAGTTCACTTCCTGGTTCTGTATCAATTTATCATCTGCTTGAGATTTTACATAGGTGCAAACATTTCTAGATAATGAGCCAAAGACTACAGAGTGCAAACAACATTATATGTGACTGAGGCAGGGCAGCATCTGTCTAAGGAAATGACGGGGACTAGACATGTTGGACTCTAAAGAACCAGACCAGTTCAGATGCTCCTGTTTGTTCATAGTGTTCCATCACTTTTTTTCTCCAGCAGTTTTAATGGCAGGAATCAGAACAACTGATAAGGTGGGAATAATTTCAGCATGGCTTCAGGATGGCATTTGGAGGAAGCTCATCTGACATAATTAAATACCTTTTTAATAAATTCATGGGGAAAAAACTGTCAGAATTACTACAGTATGGTTTATCCTTTACAAAGGGCTTCGGTGAATACAGTTTTGATCTGAAATCTGGGAACTAACCTAATTTGGGGATAAGAACCTGTATCTTCAATGTGGCTGTGGGACATTTTTCCTTTTCTTGATCTCATTACAGTATCCAAACAAATAAAACCTTACAGAGGATGTCTTACAGTATTTTTCTTTCACTCAGCTTCTGTGAGCTGCAGTTTAGTTACTATAATAAACTCTACACATTTCAAAATTATATAGGAATACCCAGAATAACTAAATAAATAAAAGGCTAATGGAAACTGGAACAGTACTGTCTCCATCTGAGACTAATCATCTACTTCCAGCATCACAGAGAAGGGCTAGGACAATTTTTTTCCAAAAGATTTATATACAGGTTTGAATCCAGAAATTAAGGTTAAAAGCATAAATATTGATAATTTCAACTAAATTCCGAACGGTTTCAGAAAGATATGATACAACAATTTAGAGTAAGACAAAGCAGAAAAGCATCGTATTTTGGTTTGCTTTGAGATATACATAAGGTGCAACAACGATTTTTCTCGAGGATGCTTGCGGACAAATGTTAGTGTAGATGGTGTATGCTGGCACATTAAAGTACACACCATAGCAATATGATCTTCCAAAATAAAAAAAAAGAATGAGAAATGAAAGTGATCAATGAGAGGGAGCTCTACATGTTGGTCTGACATATTTGTGCTAACAAATGTTACCTGAAGATACCAACACCCCTTTCCGGAGGATCCAGGGCATGAGAAAAGCACTAGTACTGAAATCAAGACATCACGCAGAGAAATAACAAGGCGAGTGTCTAAAGGACTATAAAGCTTTGCAGGATTTCTGCTACTCTCAGTGCCTAACCGCTTAAAAATTAAGCATTTCTACAAAAAGATTTTTTTTTAAAGTATCTGAAAACAGTCATATCCAGTAGGTTGCCCTCCCACCCCTGCCCTTGCCTAAGGGAAAAGCCACTGAGGTTTAGGAAAAGCAGATCAAGTAAGATATTACTCACATAGAAAAAAGGAATCTTGTTTTGCTTCTTTTTAAAAAAGGTCCCATGAATATACAGCAATTTCTTAAGGAATTCTAGTGAAATGTCATCGGAGGATTGAAGTAGGGTGCTCTGGCAAAAATAGATCTATTCTAGTACGTCCTACAGAGTAACAAGTTAGTACCATTGTCAAGGTGCATGTTCTGCACCACACAATTTTTCTCATTGGTTTTTTTGGAAGGGGATTTGAGCTAATTGTTATTTTTAAAATCACTGCTAGCAAGTGGTCCAAAAACTCCAACAGCCACCAACACTGGGACCCAGCAATCTTCAAACATTCACTATGTGTACTGAAATTAGAAAATACTAATAAAATAGCATCATAGTAAAAAATATTATACTACAATTAGGGGCTGCTTACCCACAAGATTTATTTCTATGTGAAAGGGGTTAAGCTTTAGCCTCTGATTATCTCTGCTTAGTAATCCTTTCTTTTCCTCCATGCACACATTGAATATGCATTTTTGAGGACACCATTCTAATTTCCTTGCTGCCCTCTTTACCTGCTTTGGAAAAAAACTCACTTCAAATCAAATCTCTATATTCTTTATCAATTTTGTTAGTATGTTGTATATATTTTCCAGCACCGAAACTGAAGTAATATCTACAACCTGAAAAGCGAAATGTAGTTGGGACTAATAGAGTCATTTTTTATGGCTATCAGGTCAAATTACGATTAGAAAAAAAATCATTATAGTTCAGTCAAGTATAAATAAGAAAGCTAGATAAAACCTTGTAAACTGTCGCCATTTAGAGATCTAATTCAAAAGCTCAACTTTAACTAACCTATCAAAATTCTGCCAGTTTGAAAACCACTAAAAATTATTGCTGGAATCCAATCATTAAAATCTGGTAGTTTGTGCTATGATGCAAGAGTGGGGAAATACTTTGTGCTATGGAACAAATACCCTGTAAAATCTGTAGCCTCAGACTAATTTTGATTTATCACTTCGCATCTGTTGCTAGGAAACAAGACACTGGGAACGTCAGGTGGTTAAGTCAATATGTTGAATGTTTTAAGCCAGTTAATCCATTTGGCACTGGCATATGTAAGGTTGTTTTTATTTTTTTGTGTGTGTGTGTGTTGTTTTGTTTTTGTTTTTTTTTAATGGTAAAAAGCAACAAAACACAACAAGGAAACAGAAACTTGCAGGTGTATTTATGACTGAGAGCCCCACTCTGGTCGGGCATATCTCCCTTATCGCGGACTTCAAACCTCTTTCACAATACGAACTTGAAATGGCTCTAAAAACCTGCAGTGCCGATTAGGCTGTGCATAGCAATTGCTACCCGTCCAGTCAGTTTGGGATGGATGTGAAAAGTCTGTAGGTCAAAGTCCACATGAAGTGAGTGTCTTCAATGTGTTCAGAATAGTGAAGTAATACTAAGGTCACTTCTGAATAATATTTTTCTCTTTTTTTTTTGTTTGTTTGTATGAACGATCCATTGGTCACTTAGACCCCTGTGTAAAAATAAAAGAATCCTCAAGGCATGAAAACATCAGTAATCTGTAATCTGCAGGACTCTTCCCCTATCTGGGAAAATATTTGCCACGATTTGCCCCAAGCAAATTCTTCTTGGTCTCTCAAGGCTAAGAAAAAAATTCAGCATGTAAGAATTGTAATCTTTTTCCTCTTTTTTTTTTTTTGCCAGCAAACTACTACTCTGGTGGCAAATATAAAAGTGCAGAAGATATGGACCATGAGGCCGAGCATACACTGCTAACAATGGTACATCTGCCTGCCCGAGCTGCTTGGGAGTCTCTGGAACAGGCTTTTAATATTATTCTACAATATAAATGTAGGTATAACCTATTATATAAACCATCTTCAAACTTAAATCTCCATGTACAAAAAAGACTAGGAATATCTAATAATAACTAGTGCAGTGCGTCAGTTTTTGTTTTTTTTTTTTGTTTTGAAAGAATAACTAGGCAATATACGAAACTAGTTTCACAATCTCTGGTTGGTAAGAGATGCTGAATGAGCTACAGTAAAGGCAGCCTTTTACCAAGTAACCACCTATTACCACCGAAAGCCTTCAATAGAAAGCAAAGCTCTGAGATCATTCAGTCTCTGCTCATTCTCAGACAACATTACCCACAAAGGTTCTGGGTTCCAAAAGAACAAACTGGCCCAGGATGCTAACTTCTGCTTCAAGTGAATCTGGGCCATACTGGGCTACAAGCACTTGTTTGCAGTCTGTATTTTCCACCATATGGACTCACTAGCATCCCTCTGTAAAGACAAGGCTAGGGTAGTAGGTAAAGCACATGTTTTACAATTAAAGAACGCTTCACTGGTCAGCGCAGGAAATAAGAACAGGAGCCTGTGGCATTTCTTTTGGCTGTCCATCATGGGTGAGCGGGGTTGACCTCTGACCTCTATAAAACAAGAGAAAGAAATCATGTTCATATATTTGAGGATGTTATCATGAAGAGGAGAGAATTGAATAACCAATTAAACCTTTCCAATAGCTTATTTAAAGCTACTGTTGAGTTATTAAGCCATTTAATTAAAGTTATTTGTCCTTCACTGATTTTCTTTTTCAAGGATTTTAATTTTTCTAGGCCCTCACATATGCAAGGCAAGTGCTCTACCACTGAGCTACACTACACCCTCGGTTTCCTTTAAAGGATTTCTTCTTTCAGTTTCCCTCATATAACAATAATATCCTCGGCCCCCACCCAACCATCTCTATTTTGTAGCGAAATTTAAAAAAACCCTGAAAATTCAACAGATCTGGGTAAATTCCCTAAGAACTAGGAAACGATATAAGGTTGTGGGTTAATTTTTCTCTTATTCCACTAATATTTTTTAAAAAAGATTAGTTTTTGAGGTTTAGGGTAAACTCTCTAAGAGATAATTTTCTTGTTCATTACTTAAGATACATAATCAATCCAATTTAACACTTAAGCCAATAAAACTTAAAAAGAGGTTCATTATAACTGTAACAATTAAACCCTCCCAGTAGTCTGAGAGGTAGTATGCAGGTAAGGCACTTGCCTTGCAAGCAGCTATGGTAGTTATGGTGGCTACTTCCCCTGAGCACCACCAGGGGTAACTCCTGGCCACAGTGCCTGGAACAGTCCCTGAGTACCACAGGCTGTGGCCCCCAAACCCAAAATAAAAATAATGAAAACTTCCTAATAAAAATCTCACAGGCTTATGGAGAATGTAGAGGGGAAGAAGGTTAAATGCCAACTCTGGATATCAGAATGTGAGAAAATCTAGTCAGTAGGCCCAAACCAGCACACAAGGAGAGAACTCTAGAAAATTCATAGAGATACTTGTGGTTTCAGTGGAAACTGCACCAAACTTGGTTGATTTATAGTCAGAAGAAAACTGCTTAAAGGGCTAAGGATGTAGCTCAAGCGGTAGAGCACATGCCTTATAAGTGTAAGGTCCCGTTTTCCATCTCTGGCTCCCCGACGCCCAAGCCCTGCAAGAACAATTAAAAAAAAAGGGAAAGAAAAGAAAATGTTTCAAAATCTTTAGTAATTTCCACATAAGTTCTTATTCTAAAAAGACAGGGTCAGGAACCTCCTTGACCTTCCCTGCCAGACCTACCATACCTGCCAAGGCCCTCACTGCTCTGTGCTACAGGGTACATGGCACTGTCCTGGAAAGTGATGACACAGGAGCAGTGACCTCACTGATGACCTTTCCATACTGGATTTTCTTCAGGATATTGCATAAGAACAAAAGGAGCAAATTTAACATTCAAATTTTATTTTATTACATACTGCCCCATCCTTTTTTATATTTTTATTTTGTTTTTGGGTCACACCCTGTGGCTTCTGTGCTCTGGGATCACTACTGTCTGGGCTTTGGGACCATATGTGGTGCGGGGGATTGAACCCAGGTTGGATGCATGCAAGGCAAGTGTCCTATTCCACTCCCTATCCTGTCACTCCTGCCCCACCCTTCTTTATGTTGATGCACACAAAAAAGAAGAACAAGACAGATAAATACAACATTTGGGGAGTTCAGAATCCAGTGATCACTTAACGGCCTAAGTAAGATATTAGGATTTTAGAAGAACAAAACATGTGTTGCAATCAAACCTCTGGATTAATCTATTTCTTTGTGTGGGGGATATGCTGTAAGCATCAACTATTCAACTCTTTACTCAAGAAAAATAAAACTAAAGTGCTATTTTCTTACTTTTAAGTTTGGATATGTAATATTACAAAAGTCAAATGGACTTTAGTACAGTTATTTAAAAAGGAAACATGAAAAAATCATAGGGCATTGGACAGACAGTACAGCAGGGCAGGGCACTTGCTTTGCATGTGGCTGACCTGGCTTGGATCCTAAGAACCCCAAATGGTCCCTGAGCCCCACACCAAGAGTGATCCCCGAGTGCAGAGCTGGAAGTAAGCCCTAAACACCACTGGGTATAGTACAAAAACAAGCAGAAAGTAGGAATGAACTGTGAAAGGTGAGATGTGCACTATAAAAAAAGCAAGGAGAGAGAAACTGAGGTGAGAGCTCTGCTGAATCAGTGAAAAAAGAAAGGAAGGCAGAAGCATGGTGGGAGTTTAACGAACCAGTGTCAAGTGGAAGGACCTGGTGAGATTACTTGTGACCATCTGTGGAATGACAGAGGTTTTCTTGAACATCTCTCAAGAGGAACTGAAGTTTAAACCTCAGTGTGCTCTAAGCCATTTAATAAGCTATACTGGTGTCATCATTAAAACAGACTAAAAATGCCTGCTTGGCATTGGTTTTAGGATTAAGCTCAATGAGATTTCTTCCAAGTGAAATTCCTACTAAATAAACCAACAAGGGTTTATCCCTGCATTTTGCAAAACTGACTAAACCTAAGGGTGCAGGCAATATTTCTACCTAGAACTGTTGACTAGCCGCTAGGTTAAGATCCTAGCTTCTTAAACTATAGATTATGATTTCACGTAAGGTCCTGTCACATTCTGTTTTTTTTTCTTAAGCTCTGGGCCACACCTGGTGGTGCTCAGGAGACCATATGTGGTGCCAGGGATGAAGTGGAAAGCTGGTGACTCAACTTCTGTACTATCTCTGTGTTCCTAAGTTTTTTGTTTAAGGGAATACACCTGGCAGTATTCTTGGCTCTGTACTCTGGCATCATAGGGATGTTAGGGACTGAATTTGGGTTGTCTGAATGCAAGGCAAATGCCCTACTCACTGTACCTACTCCAGTTCCATACACAGATCACACAGTACATCAGAAATCAAAAACTAACTGTTCGATCTATGTATCATTTATACCCCAAATTGCTAAAAGTTTCCCTGGCAAAAGGGTCAAAAGAGAAAAAAATTAGACATCTTGCTTGAGATTATGAGACGCAATCATTACTTGATATGTTCTCCATGTTTAATTACTGATACTCAGAGCTCTGCATTAACAGTCAAAATGACAACAAATATTAAAAGCCTTTCTGGATATAAATACACAAACCATTTGTTATGCTGATAGTAACAACCTACCAGGCAATATTGTTCCATCTAATGGGAAAAAATAATATAAACTCACACCACTTTCTCTTAGCTAACTTAGGCAGTGATATATCAGAACACCTCATTTAATCATCCACTCATTCATACGCTTATTCATTCATGGATGTAACAGGAATGAACGAAATTGGAGATGGAAGAATAAAATTAGTGTTTTTGTTTTCAAAATAAAATTGGACAAAAAAAGAATTAAAAAATAATTGCAACGTTTTGTCAATTAGTTTATGAGAAATAAGTCCAGAGAAGAGCAGATTTCAGAAAGTGCACAGAGAGCAGAGTTAAAGAGAGAAACAGGAGTTCACCTCTGAGGAGGATGTACAAAAGGTAAAAACATAGAACCGGGCTTATTTGGACAGCCGCAAACTGCATGTTACTGCAGGCAGGGAGGATGAGTACTAGTGGGGGTGATAGGAAAATGTTTCCTGATACTTTCTGCTATTGCAAACCAGAAGCTAAGGAAGGCTTAATAAGTGCAATGTGATGGATAAAGTAATGTTTATTACAGAGTGCTAGAGTCAACAAGGGTGACTGTGGCAGCCTTCTAAGTCTTCAATTATGATTCTCCCTCTTAAATCTTCTACTTCCTCTAATTCCCACAATTTATGGGGGCACTTAATAGCATATAAGTTTGTCCTCTGAAGTCAACTGAAATATTACATGTGAGAGAGCATGTGCAGGACCTCCCTCAGAGATTGGAGGAATTTTGATGCCAGTTAGCACCCACTTGTTAGTAGGCAGTGTACACAGGAAAAGAATTTGACTTCTTGGAAATACCTAGAGTCGATTTGTGAGCAGTGACTCGAACTATAATATGACAGGTAAAGAGCATAAAGCAAACAAAGCTTATGTCAGAGTCTCCTAAAGCAGCATATGAGAGAGGAGAATGGAGCTGACAGGTGGCTATCAAGTTATGCCTGACTTCAAGGTCCACTGTACTTAAGACTGAGTCTAAGAAAATGTGCACAGGTTAGTGGCAGGAAAAGTCATCTGTGTGCAATTCACTTTGAGTGAAAATAAGAAATTCCTGGATTTACAAAAGGCTTTCCCCAACTCTCCCAAAGGATCATTTAAGTAGCAGAATACCCTATTATATACTTAGAATCCAATCTACTTTCTGTAGAATTTTATGGAGCTCAAAAGTCCCTCACAAGAATGATCTAATTTAATCCTTAAAATTTAGTAGTTCTTCAAGGATAACTTTTTTGCTCAAACTAAGACAAGAAAACTAAGGCTAAGATAAATAACTTCATAGCCAGGACAAAGCAATTTATTAAGCTGAGAAAAAATCTAAGCCTTCTTTCTGTCATGATGCTCTTTCCTCTGAAGCACTTTGACTTCTGCCGGTAGCATCATTGCCACCAACACCATAAGCATGAGGGCTTAACATGTTCCACCACTGGGAAATTCAACTTATTTTACATAAACAGCTTCATGGGGTACTACTTACTCCATCTTACATGAGACTTGAGTTAGAGATCTTCATGATCTTGCTCAAGACAAGCTTTCCAGGGTCAGAGCTAGGATCTGCCCCCAGTCTGAGGTCTGACTCCAAAGCATATGCCCAACCATTATATAATTTCTGTTTCTACACAATTTTAGACTTTGTATGGAAATGAAGTTTAGTAACAGAATAACATCCAAAATGAAATCATTAGCTGGCTGTATGCCTTTCTATTTCCATACTGTTAAGTAGCACATATACTTTCATAACACTTCGCATAAACAAATCTGCAGCTGAAGCTACATCTCATGAAGCCCAGTGCATTGCAAAAAATAACACATCACACGTGAAAGGATGATTCCATGGTACTTTCTCCACATTCTTTGGAGAGGGCAAGGTTAAAAAGGAGTCCCAGAACTCGAGTGGAACAAGATTTCCTCCCACTAACCTGTGCACATTTTCCATGGCAGCCACCTCAGCCAGTGCGGCAAGGCTGAAGAAGGCGGACACTGCGGGCATCTCGGGAGTGCTGCTTCGAGTCTCTGTGGCCTCGGCATTGTGTGAGCATTCGTCACTGCAGCCTGTCTCAGTTACCTTAGGGAGACTCCTCTGCAGTTGTTGTTCCTTTGGTTTGTCATCTGTAACGATAGGGAAATTCATCATGAGAGGATCACTCTTCTCTCTAGAGAAGGGACACAGAGGAAACTCTGTTCACTTGTCATCCACTGAGCCTGAATTACAGAATTTCTTTGGTCTTGGATTAAGCTCTTTAGCAGCTACAGGTGGCACTGTTCCCTGAAGCTGGGCAGAGAAGTGGTTGTGTTTTATCCAAGGTCAAAGAATCGGTAGGTCAGGAAGGAGAAAAAATGGACTCTGATCAAAATCAAACCCGAATGACTTCTGTAACAGGGTTTGTGACTACTATAGAATAGTCCTTAAAATCCCCAATTGACCAAACTTCTTTTTTTGCAGTGCTGGGAATCAAATGCAGAGCCCTGAAGATGCAAGGCAAGAGCCCTACCATGGTGCTAAGCCATGAGCAAACATTTCTGATAACGCTGCTGCACAGCCTTCCATGGCAGCCCATACTTTTGGTATGCTGTGAAGCCAATACTTAGGAGGGCCCAAACTGGTCCCAGTGAGAATAATCAATGGCAGAAAGATCTCAAGTTGTTACATTTGTGCTGAAGACTTCCTGGAAGCAACGGTAAGGGGCCTCCTATTTATGAGGCAGTAACTGAGATATTATATACATATATACACTGGAAACAAGGGCTATATATATGTAGCCAAAACAAAGGAGGAATCTATCATGGTTTTAAATATTACACATATATAAAGCAATTGTTGAAATCTGTAAATGTCGTATATTAGGATATGGAATTGCTAAGTGCCTTTTTATCTTATAAGGGATTATTTTCTAAAGTCTTTCACTTTTCCTATAAGTGAAAACGAGGCTGTAACAACTGTAAAATGAAAATTATAGAATAAAAACCAGAGCATAAATAGAAAGAAAGGGGCTGCTGGATAAGATAACAGAAAAACTACATTCTAGTCCTTCCTCAACTTCTATTTTGTTGAATATCAGAATAAAAAGTAACTTTTTGAGCTTCATCGCATATGACAGGGTGAAATTAGGGGTCTTTAATGTTTTGAGTTCTAACAATCTCTATATGCAAAGCATGAGAAAAAGTGCACAACCCTCACTAATTGTCCTCTAATTCTATCTCAGCAATATAGCAACAACTTGAATAACCCAAATTAGATATTTATAAATATCACTCTCAAAAACACTCATTTAAATTTTTTTTCTATTTATATAAGTCATTATGGACCTTTGATCTCTTCCTGGAAATTGGATTGGTAATAGAGGGAGGAAATTTCCTTCAGAATTGATAAAGGGAGATGTTGGAGATGCTGAGAGGCAGAACTAAGACCTTTAATGCTCAGCTGTTGTAGCCTCCGATTTCTGTGGCATTCTCTGACCCCACTCCTTAACCCATGCCACTTAGAAAATTCTGCAGCTATGGAGGCTTCCAAGAATAGAAGACAACAACTGAAAATGGAGAAATGCGCAAGTTAATGCATTTGGTTAAGTATTAGCCCAGAGAACTTAAGAAACTCAGAAACATTCTTAGGCTCCCTTAACAGTCTATATCAACTTTATAGCAAATATCTGATGCCGTATAAAGTTCTAATAATTCACTGGTATAAATACCTAATAATTTGATTTACAATGATTTGACTAGTGGACCATGGAGAAACACTAATTTGTTTAGTATTTAGAAAAATTTTTAATTTTTAATTTTTGGGTCACACCCAGTGGTGCTCACGGGTTACTCCTGGCTCTGTACTAGAATCACTCCTAGAAGACTCAGGGGACGATGGGATGCCAGGGATTGAACTTGGGTTCTCTGCATGCAAGGCAAGTGCCCTATTCACTGTATAATCTTTCTGGCTTGTTTAGTAATTTTTTAAAAGTGAAGGGTACTAGGAATTTGCTTAATTAAAATAGTTTTTGTGCATACTGAGAAGGCGGGGAGAAGCTGATACTATTAAACATTACCTTTCCTTTCTAGGAATTTCAGATAGGTTCCTTGAAAGAAATATATTTTAAAACATGAAACACTGACTCAGGAAACTGTAGAAAAAAAGTATCAAACTGATACAACCAAGAAAAAAGTGTTACTGTGACCAAAACCATATAAGAGACCCATTTTAAAATGAGAGAAGAGTTGGCTTATAGTCATTTGCTAGCCAATAGTCACCATGATGGTCGTGAGTGCTATGGGTCTGCTGTGCTTATCACTATGAATAGTTCCCTTCTTACCCAAGCTACCTCCAGCTGGTGAGACTCGGCCATCTGCTGTCCTGACAAGGTGTGTGATCTTGGTTTTCCTTGCTTTTCTCTTTTGGCTGCCCACCAAGGGTTCTTGAATTGTTGTTGGCTCTGGAGTGTTGAGAATGGATGGGACATTTTTAACCTTATGAACAGGCTCTGTGGTGTTTTTGTCTTCTGAAAATATGGCTGAAATAGAACAAACCATATGTAGTTACTCAGAAATTCAAGAAATTCAAGGCAACAACATTGCTCTCGGATGGAAACATGGCTAAGTTTCTGACCCATCCAAAGACCTTACATTCATAGTAGACAAAATGATCAGGGGGAAAATAAAGGAAAAAGATGAGCATAATTTAAAAATACATATATATTTATTTTTTCTTTGAATAGCTAAGTACAGAGGTCTAAGATGCTCTCTTTTTTACTGAAATATGAAATGAGGGCATTGACATAACATGTAAGGGTACGGACTTTCCAAGTGGGTGGGGAAATATGTATGAATGAATGGTGCTCCAATATACAATTTCTATAGGTGATCCCATTATCTGGGATCTTTTGGTCAACTGGTCTAAAAAGGATAAAAACAGAAGCTTCTTTTCTTCTGAGGACACTACAATTAAATATACATACATACATATATATATGTATATATTTTTTTTTCTTTTTGGGTCACTCCCAGCGATGCTCAGGGGACCATATGGGATGCTGGGATTCAAACTTGGGTCGGTTGCGTGCAAGGCATATGCCCTACCCACTGTGCTATGGCTTCAGCCCCTAAATACTGTAGCATTGTCCTCCCATTATTCATCGATTTGCTCGAGCGGGCCCAGTAACATCTCCATTTTGAGACTTCTTGTTACTGTGTTAAGCATATCAAATACGTCATGAGTAGCTTGCCAGGCTTTGCCGTGCGGGCGAGATACTCTCGGTAGCTTGCTGAGAGGGGTGGAGGAATCGAACCTAGGTAGGCCTGGTTGGCCATGTGTAAGGCAAACGCCCTACCTGCTGTGCTATCGCTCCAGCTGCCCCCCCATACATATATCTTAATTTACAATTTTGAGTGGGATATTAGCTTTTGATCACCATGTTGGACCAATCAGAAATGAGACTGATGTCTGAGCTTTTAAAAAAAATGTACTGAAACATAAGCCACCCAGTTAGACAAACTCTGATGAAATCTGTATTGGCACTCTCCCACTCACTGTATTCTAGGAACAGTTGAATATGTTCAATGAGATAATTTAATGTGATATCGTATGTCAGCAGGGTTCCTGGAGAGGTTTAGTTTTAGATATCCTAATTGTAACGGTATTACTAGTAAATCAATAAATTAAGCATATACCTTCTAATTAAATACACAGAAACGCTGGGTTGAAAGTAGGGAATACACTCAGCTATCAAACAAGTTGGCAGTCCTTATATAGTCAAGTCCTCAGGAGTTCCCCCCTCTCCCTTCATCTAAAAGAATATGCAGATTTTGGTATAGTTAAAGCTTTAGATGTTAGTCAAGTTTCAAGACAAGACTGATTTTTTTCCTAAGGACTCTGGACTGGGATAAGCCATAGCTTTCTGTTTTGAAACACCCAATCTCTTAAGAAAGGCACAAAAATTGTTTTTTAAAAAGAGAGGCAAGAGTTTGGAAAAATCAGTCTATATAAACTAAACATGGATGCTTACACTGAAGTGCTTATCAGAGGGTGGAGGTGGACCGTAGAAATTACTATATAACACCAGAAGAAAAAAAAAATTCAGGATGTGAAAAAAATAAAAAGAACTTGCTGGTATAAAAACTTGCACAGATTTCATTACAAAAATTTAAAAAAAAGTGCTGTGATTTGCATTACTATTACTGGTAGGGCTTTATTGGTATAACACTCTAAAATGTTCTACTATCACTCCCTTCACTAGAGTGCTACTTTCTTTGCCCACCATGGTCCCAGTTCTATCCCCTATCCTAACATGACCCCTGCCCTCAGTTCTGTAGGCCAGCTGTCTGGTTCTGTTGCCTTTGGGCCTTAGTTGTTTCCTTACTATGTCACTCTATCTCCCATATATGAGAGAGATCATTCCATATCTGTTCCTTTTCTTCTGGCTGACTTCACTCAGTAAAATATTCTCCAGGTTCTATTCACGTGGCTGCAAATTGCATAATTTTGTCTTTTCTTAAAGTTGAGTAGTATTTCATTGTGGTTATATGGACCATAGTTTTTTCCTTTCTCCTTCTATTTTTTTTAATACAGTCTGGCCCTCTAATGATTTCAGTACATCCCTAATAAAGGAGGGTTATAAATTTGTAAAGATTTGCTCTCAAGAGCTTGACTCCTTGCTTCTCATTCCAAAAACAACTGGGAAATAATTTCAATTATCTCAAAAGAAAGCTGTAATGCAAAAATAATACCATGTAGATAGGTTGTATAGGGACAGGTTTAGGATAACAGTTATTTAAAAAAAAAACAGATTTGGAAATGTTCCTAAATATCTATTCAAGCTAGGAGTAGCAAATAGGAGAAAGGCCCTTTAAAGCCTAGGTATATACCCATATCAATACTTTGATATTTACTATAACATTGGGCTAGTGTTGTTATATATTTCAAATTACTTTTTGGTTTAAATATTAATAAAAGTTGCCAGCAAAATAAAAGATAATTTCACTAGAAAAATCCAATGACATTTTATAACTGTGCATAACCATAAAAGTTAAGGCCTCCTTTAGTTGACTTTGAAGCTAAAATATGAGTTTATAATCAAAATCAAATAATTGCTATTGGACTCTCATAGACTTCAAAAATCTACTTTCTTGTCCAGATCCATTAGAATCTCTTCTGATAACAATGCAAATCTTGTTCACCTTTCCAGTATGATCAATACAGAGTAACCTTCTAGAAAAAAGTCCATAAGCCTCAAGAAAGGGTTGTGTGGGGGCTCTTTTCTTTTCTCTTCCCTTCCCAGAAAAATCCAGAAAGTTATAGAAACAAGCATAGCAGGGTTTCAAAGAGTAAGTTTATACATCAGAAGAATTTTTAAGGGAGAGAAAAATGCAAGGTGTTCAAAGATAGAGCAGGCACTCCAGAAAAGGGCACAAAGATGATAGGGATAGAAGGAGGTGAGTCAGGTAAGAGACAAGAATTCTAATCTTGGTACTTAACTGACTGTGGAACCTTAGTGAGTAGGCAATCCCAGGGCAATGGAATTCCTGGTAATTCCTGGCTATAAAATTAATAGTTCCAAGGTAGCAAAAAGCCCAACTTGTGAGCAAAGGAACCAAAGCCTGATCAGACCTTCACTTGGCCCCCAGCTGCGTACCCTAAGGGGCTGGACCCCTTTCTACAAAAAGACAAACCAGTAGAGACAAAGACTGTGATAAGGACCTGAAGGAAGTTCTTGAAAGCTTCAAATTCCTTCCTTTTATGAGTATATCTGATCTACTCTCATTCTTGGGTAAGCTAGTCAAAGGTAAGCACTATCTTGGACTCTAATCTAAGCAGAAAGCCCCATAGGCTTTCTCCCAGGGCAACATGGGAGAAACACTGTAAGCACCAACTTAGACAAAGGAAGCACATGCATATGTTTCCCAGAGCCCATTTGCTGTTTCCCTTTCCTCAAAATAAAATCTGTTTTTACTTCACTGCTCATCTCCTCCTGAAATTCTTTTCTGTGAGAAAGGTGAAGAACCCAAAAGACCTGAGTAAGGTCTACGACTAACTTTGCTGGAAGGAGTAATTCCTCCTTCCAAAATGAGTCCACAGCTCCCCGGGGGAAAAAGGTGGTAGGGATTGACTCCTGTGCTGTGCAGAACAAGTTGATGTCAGATGTGGCTTAATGGCTACCTCTTGGGGCTGGCGGGACTTAAGCTCTGAGCCATAAAGGGGCTCATCACAGACTTTTTAAGTCCAAGACTTCTCGGCCAGTTCTGGGATGCCAGAGTTGGATTGGGTTCAAGCGGCCATTTCTCTCCTCTCCTCTCCTTTCACATAAGTCACCCAGGAGCCAACTGGCATCAGTGGGTTTTGGTTTCTTCAGGTGAACATGGAGGATAAATTAGACTAGCTCTAAAAGAGCCATCTTGGCCCTGATAGTCTGTTTTCTCATCAGACTCCTGGTAAGTCACTATGGGAGTGGCAGGGTTGAGAAAAACAACTCTCCTGACTTTCAATGTTGTCTCCCCCCCCCCCCACTTTTTGTTTGCTTTTAGTAAATCTTCTAATAGTTTCATTTCTATTCAAATGACTGCTTTATTTTTTTGTGTGTTCCAGATGAATTGGTAAAAGCACAGTAAGATGCCAAGGGCCTCACTACAAAAGGATTGCAAATGGGAGTGTTATCAGGTTTAAAATATATGCTAAAATATATTGCAGGCAAAGTAAGATTGGAAGAAGCTCCGAAATCAACAGAGTAGGAGTCAGGGTCAAAGTCCTATCACACCTCACTGAGAGCTAGCAACCATACTCAAATTCTCATTTGGTAGAGTAAAGAAGAAAATCTAGTTGCTGACCAGGGAATTGAGGCAAAAAAAAGGAGTAGAAAGACACTAGAAGTTCTCATAATTCACTGCATTGTTACCTATCCACTAGATCTACTGCTAGATCAATCAGTAATCCTGAAACTATAGATCATCCACATTTGAAAAAGGAGGCAATGTGAACTTGCTAGAGTTTAGAAGAGGCAATACGAAATCTTGCCCCTTGCTTTGAAACAGACTTATTCTCAGAATGCTGTCTTGTTTGGTAGCCACGACCACAGGTACTAACTAGTCAGTCCAAAGACCAGGTGTAGAAAGGCTGAAGAATGCTGGCCTGGACTAGTAACAGACTTAGAATCAGTTAAGGGAGAACCCTCTCCTAAAACAGAAGAATTGATGAAGGAAGGTAAGACTAAGTCAAAGAAGAAGCTGTTGGGGACAGAGCAGTAGCTAAGAGAGTCCAGCTATATTAACTGAGCCAACAAAGGTCTGGTGGTGAAGGACAGGAAATGGAAAAAGCCCAAAGAGGGGAAAAAAAGACTAAAATTAACTACCAAGGCACCAAGACAGTCCTCACTGCCCGCCTCTTCTCCCCACCCCTGGCAAACTAATGAACATGTGAGAAAAGGAAGGCTTTGTCTTCTGAAAACAAATTAGTCATTTTACTTTCAGCTTTAATAAAAACACAAAACTTAACTATCCAAGCACGACAGAACAAGCCCATAAGAGCTAGTTTTTATACTCAACAATAATCACTAACACAATTAGTGTATCATCCAGAGAAAATGCAAGCTCACTCCTGGTGCAATGTTAGGAACATGACAACAAGAGATAGCCTGTTTCCCAAAATCTGAAGTTTTCCTTTCTCTCTCTTTTTTTAATACTACTGACTATGGACTGTACCCCAAGAAGCCACCAGAGTGCTCCAGCGAGTAATTCACATTCCCGGGACTGGAGACATAGTACAGTGGATAAGGTGTCTGCTGGGCACATAGCCTACTCAGGTTTAATTCCTGGCATCACATACAATCTTTAAGCACCTCCAAGAGTGATTCTGAGTGCAGGCCCAAGAGTAAGCTGGGTGCAGATCTAAACAACATTCTAACATTTGAATCAAACTTGCCTGAAATAATAATAATAATAATAACTGTTCTAACTGATGTTAATATTATTATTTTTGTCTTGGGGTCATGCCCAGTGGTGCTCAGGGGATCATATGAGTACTGGGATCAAATGTGGGTTGGATCTGTGCAAGGCAAGCACTTTGGCCTCTACTATTTTTCAGGCCTGCCTGAAATTTCTATGTAGTCAAAATTGGAATTTCATTGCCTTTGGTTGGCTTCTTGTAGCTAAAATGGTAGTCAGATGTTGAACTGAACACTGGGAAAAAAAAATCAAATGAATAAGCCTAATCTAAGATCCTGGGATATCTAGGTGGAATTACATAGCAACTATTTCAAGCTAAAGACAATGGATCAAGTTTGTCCCACTACTATGGACTGTGATTAAAAATCTGGCATAATATTAAGTATTACTTTTCACCATAATTATTTCATTAGAGACATCTAGCATGTACAAGCACACGATTTTCTGGAAAATATAGCACAGTGGCAGAGGTAGGTCAGTTATCCTGGTTTATCTAAAATTTTTACCTTTAATTCTAGGCCACAGTCAATCTCCTCCTTCTTTTTTAAAATGATATATAAAAAACTCAAGAAATGCTTTAGTGATTTTGAATTTTAAAAGCATGAGAAAATGCATAAAAACAGATTAGAAGCTTAGCACTTAAACCTCAGATTTATTACTAAGCACACCTAAAGATTTCTGACACTTTGAGAAAAACCAAAACCAAAACCATGAACAGCAAGCCAATTAACCTAGGGTGGTGTAAGGAAACAATAGTGGATTTAAGTCATTTGCCTAAACCAAACTCAGAAACAGTCAACAAACTGCACAGTTGCAGATGAATCAACATTTCTGGTTATAGATACTACACAAAACCAATTATCGTTAAATTTTTGTCTAGGACACCTTACACACTTTAAAATTATCCTGATTATGGTTTCATTTTATGTCCTGTATTTTTTCCAAAGTGGTTTTAATAAGCAATGGCATGGCCTAAGGTGAGAGGATGAAGTCAAGGGTCTAAGTAAATCACAAAGCACATAGTTACAATCCAAACAAGCAAGGCAGGGGCTAGTACAAAAATTACCAAAAAGGTCACTTTAAATGACTGGTAATTTCCAGTGCTCATTACTTTTTTCCCTGCCATGTAAAATGAATTTTACACTAAAGGACATGCAATTTTCAGTGCACGCTCTTCAATATTTTGTTCTTTGCATTAATAATAAATGTAATGAAATAGCACCAATAATGCTATTTCCACCAAACCCTTAGGATTGCCCGGAAGACTCAACAGTGATTTACTTTTTTGACCACATAGGACAGAAAATCAGCAGCTGAAGAATAAGTACTTCAAGTCTCACAAACCCACTCATAATATCACAGTAATAAAATCAAGTGTTAGTGAAGAAATGAAATTCATAGTATATATTATGATATCGTATCATTAACGACATCCCTAAACATATACATCACATTCATACTTAGAACAAATGTGGAGAGTGAATTCTAGTGATATTAAACAATCTGTACTATGGCAAAAATTATATCTATTAGTGAGGGGTCTGAGACAAGAACCCAGGTTTCCTAATTCCTACCTAACTCACTCTTCCAAATTAGTGCACAAACTTTTATCTAAAATTAAGAGTAATGTGGTCTTACATGCCTCTTTCTTATTCCTCTGATCATCAGTGCCTTTTAATTGTCATTTTTGTGTAGTACATATTCTTAAAATATATAAGAACTAGTGTAGTAAGTTGGGGACAAGAGGATTTAATGTTGACAACAGAGTAATAATTGATATATTTTGCTTTTTCCAGTTAAGTGAAGAAATAATACTCTATGGAGATATTTTTCACTATGAAATAACAGGTCAGAAAACACAGATGCACTATAATGAAAAAAAATATGAAAGTGAAAGTTCCTCAAAAAATTAAAAATTTAACTACATGATTCAGTAAATTCATTTCTATGAATATATCTGAAGGAAATAAAAACATTGTGTTGAAGAATTGTCTACCCCCATGCTCAAAGCAGCATTACTTACAACAACCAAGTTATAGAAGCAACTTATCATTTACAAAAGAATGGATAAAGAAGTTTGCAGAATATATACAAATAGATTTATTCTGTCACTAAAAGAGGAAAATCTTGCTACTTGTGACATGGATGAATCTTGAGGCCACTATAATAAATAAAATAAGCCAAAGACAGAAAGACAAATACCTTATTTTTTTTAAAAAAAATCAAGAAAGTGATCATGTTTGTGGTTACCAGGGTGGAGGAAAAGAGAATACGATGAAGGTGATCAGAGCCACAAACTTCAAGTTTGAAGGTAAGTAAGTATTAGGGAATGTGACATACAAATGGGGGAATAGTTACAGTGCCTTACCAGTGAATATAAGTTCTAAGGTAGATCTTAATAGTTCTTATCACATGGAAAAACCCTTTCTACCTCTTTTCCTTCTACCTATATGAGATGGTAAACTAAACTTCCTGTTTTAGCTTGGGAAGGAAGGAAAACAGAAAGAAAGGAAAACAGAAGGAAGAAAAATTATTGGCATTTTCTGTAAGAGTGACATATAACAGACATGTGGCTCATATGTGAACTTTGTGTAGTAAACAAAGAAGGTCACAACTATCACAAAGTCCAATCTGAATATTTTTGATGTCTTTCACAAATGAGTATTTGTGATATGTGATATAAGCCAAATGCATAATTTCCATTTATTTATCTACTTTAGTAAAGGAGCAAGAGTGCCTTTGGGAGCAGAACTTTGCCTTTTGCCTAACCATAAATTTTATCAGAGGCATATGGGCGGTGTGAACACTATGATACCTTCTTTCCTTCAAATTAATAAAGTCCTATGAAACACCAGAAAACGTAAAGTTTTTTAAAAACTATCTTCAGTGGAAATTAAATAATCAATCAAAAGAAGAAGGACAGTCCTTTATCCATCACGGAAGCTACCATTTCCCCAAGGATTCACCATTTAACAGAAATTATGTAAAGTCATAAATATGGGGAAAATTTGAAATGGAATGTGCATCTAACACTTTTAACATGATTCTAATTAGTAAGGTACTTTTCTTTGGTGATACATAAACACCAGAGGCATTTCCTCTGAAAATGCTCAGAGGTTTTCAGAGGTTGGTTAAGAGAAAGAGTTCAGGTAAAGAATCATGTCTGCAGGTTTGCCCATGCACAGCTCATCAGAAAAGTCTTATGCTGCCCTCATCTCAACCTGTGTAAGCCTTGGCCTATGAAGTAAAATGTAATGCAAAATATTTTTTGTCAGAACAAGTTTAACATCAGTTGCGACAGTTCAAATGTAACAAGCCTCCTACTGATAATTTAAAATTTATATAACATATTAGCTGACCCTGATCAGGTAAAATATATGATCATTTTTCATTAGAAAAATAAACACTCCAATAATGAACTAAAACTGCTGGTTGAGCTAATGTAAATTAGGGCATTTCCAGTTCAAGCTACTTCTAACTAGATAGTGAATATTGCTTCTTTACCTTCTAGTGGGTAAAAAGCATCCAAGAAGAGTTGCTTGTTTGACCATTTATCCCCACTTCCTAAAAAACAATGACAGAAGAGGAAAGTGAAATTCTGCTTCTAGTACAGTCACATGCATTATAAAAACAATATACAAAGCTGAAATATGAAGCTATTGAATAAATGAAGCAACATTTTATTTCAACTTCTGGGGGGCTCTGGGGCACACATAGTGATGCTCTGGACTTACTCCTGACTCTGCACTAAAGGATCACTCCTAGCAGACTAGGGAAACCATATGGGTACAGGGACTCAAACTCAGATTGGTCATTTGCAAGGCAAGTACCCTACCAGCTGTACTCTCTCTCTCATGCCCCTATTTTATCAAAATAGCACTCATCAACTAGAATAATTAGGCTACACAGTAAACTGATTAAAAATATTATAAAATATATGCTGGGGAATTTCTATGATTTTGTCAAGATTAATAAAGATTAGTTAAAAGGAAATGATAAAAGTTGACATTTTAGAGATACTTTGCCACTTAACTAGAGGAAAATTGTTAATATACAAAATGAAACTAAGACACATAAGGTAGAGATGAAAGTAAAATCCAAATTAAGTAAAAGGATATAGATCGGAACGTATAAGCACTTTTTTCTACACATGGAAGATAGCTGCCTTAAAATCTCATTCAAGAAACAAATACATCTAGACATGCAGGCAGGATATAAGTGGGCATTGATCAGTAGGTTTATGATTATCATGATACTAACATGCAGGAGATGCTAACATATTAGCAGGAGATTAAATACTAGCAGGAGATGCTAATGAAAGCCTGACTTCCAAGGCTAGGTTGACTCATATGGCGAGATCTGTCTTTTAAAGAATAGGTATTCTTAACTATGAGTGGGGAATTTTCAGAGGAGTCCTAACAGGGCTCAAGGACCCATTAAGATCTTAATGAGAGATGTTCTGAGTGAAGGGAGGATAGACTGGAATGAGTCTCTAGTACCCTCTAGAAATAACAGTTTTGGACTGAAAACGCAGTAGAAAGAGTGGCAAACAAAGTTATACAGAGAGGGGGAAAGAAGCTAAGACTCTGGAGTGGAATCCACTTAACAAAGATCCTCAAGTGTCAGAGAAAGCAAAGAAATGGTGGGACTTTCATATAAATATTCAACCAGTGAGGTTTCAGGAGGAGGAAAATGTGATTCTGGTTGATGGCTGCCAAACATGAGAAAAATGAGAGTTAAAGAAAGTCCATAGATAAGAGCGCAAAGAGGACTAGATTACAAAATGTACCAAATATAGATAAGAAAAAGCACTTTTAGGAAACATACGGAACTCTGAAAATAGAGACAAAAATGACATCTGAGTAGAAATCAAAGTAAAGGAGTTCTCTCTGCAATTAGCAATAGAGTCTAGAACTACTGAATATGTCTGTGTCAGGAACAGTTGACTGAAGCAAGTGAAGGGGAGGAAAAGGCAAAGGCGATGCATGGAAGCTCTACTCAACGATGAATTCACAAAGATGAATGTGGCCAAGAAACCTTAATGGAGGATGGAACGCACCAATACCTTTTTCCGGAACATTAGACTTCTCCTTTTTGTGCTTATATTTGCTGACAATTTTGTGGAATAAATTCTTTTTCTGGGACTGGAAAGGACCTACAGACAATATTAATATGAGTATGTTTTAAATTCACAGGGTTTTATAAAACAATAGAGTGTTTCTAAACAATTGCATCCTCCTCCCACCTGTGGAATAAGCACATGACGTCACAAGAAATGGCATCTTGCCTCTTAAATCATGTAACAGTGCTGACTGCCTTCCTTAGGCCAATCTGAAACCCAAGGAGAACCGCACTGGAGATGCACTGTGCAGCGTCTCCTTTAGATCTGGAACTACCTAGCAGAAAATGCAGATGCAGTAACCAAAACCAGCAGGATGGCTGTAGTTGCATAAAGATTTTTCTTCAGATCATTAAGGTCTTGAAGGAAGGGAGGTCGTGGGCATCACCTCTCTCCTAAGACAGAGACTTTCACAAGGACAGTGGGGTCAGGACAACAGGTGAACGGATCACACCAGATAGCTTTCTAACCTTTGCTGAGGATATTTGAGAAAGACAAAATTGGCTTAAAATTAGAACATATCTGATCTCAGGGGTGAAGGAGTGGAGAGAAATCTCAGACTGCATCCTCGTTTCCTCAGATGAAGAAAGCAGAATGGAGATTTTAAGTAACCAAACAGAAATGACAATGGCCCTGACCTCCCCGAGGTGGGTTACTTTTGATACTGCTGAAATTTCTATGTCGAAGCTGACTTTTCTTTCCTCATCTATAAGTGAGGATAACAGCTAATAAAAGGTAATAGATACATAGGTTGAGTAAAGATAATTTAGGACAACGAAAGTAATTCACAGGCTTGATGTGAAAATTTCAAAGTCATAAGTTCTGTAAACTGCCGGGCCCTGTGACCCACATCCCAACATCTGCACCACACACTCTGCCGTGTACACACCGATAGGTTTTTTTGGGGTGGGTGGGGTAAGGTGGAGGAACAGGGAGGCACTCTTGCTCTGTGCTTGAAAGTCCATGCAGTGTCAGGGTTCTAACCTGGGACTCCAGGACGCATGGCATGTGCTCCAGCCATTTGAGCTGCAAATTACCAATTTTAGAAAATTTTCCCTACCTTTAGTTCTCCTCTGTCTAATTTCCTGCATTCTCCCTATCCCTAAGCAATCAATATTTTTGTCTCTATCAAATTGCCTTTTCTGGGACTTTCCTAGCAAAAGAATCATGTGAAAAAGATCTTTGGCTAGGACTCTCAGCATGACATTTGCAGATTCCCTCCATGTCAACACTTCATTCCTTTTTTAAGGTTCAACAATATCTCATTGGATGAATATGTCATATTTTGTTTATTCACTCATCAGCTGATGCACATTTAAGTTTTTTTCTACTTTTTAGTTATGAGGAAACTGTTACGAATGCTTCTATCTGTGCTTTTGTTTTCTTCTCAGATGTACTTTAGAAGTGAAACTGCTAGGTCAACTGGTAATTCTAAACTGGTAATTCCCTTTGAGGTATTGTCACTTTATTTAACATCTTTCCCAACATTTCCTTCCTATCTGCTACTTTGATTATACCCATCATAAGAGTGTAAAAGTGGTATCCCTTTCATTGTGGTTTAGATTTGCAGTCCCTGTTGATTAATGATGTAGAGCATCTTTTCATTTGCTTATGTGCTATTTGTATACATTTCTTTTTCTTTCTTTTTTTTTAAAATACTTTATTTATTTATTGAATCACTGTGGGAAAAGTTACAAAGCTTTCAGGTTTAGGTCTCAGTCATGCAAATATCAAACACCTTTCCCTTTACCAATACTTATTTTTTACCACGAAGAACCCCGATAAAACCCCACCCCCCACCCCTCCCAATGCCTGCGAGGCAGATGAATTCTAGTTGACACTCTATCTGCTTTGATTAGATTCATTGTTTCAATAAAAGATGCACCACTATTATTTAGAGTTTACCCCCCCACCCAAATCAGACATGCTGAGAGAGCATTGTGAAGTGATTCGCTTTCTACAGCTGGGTTCAAGAATTAAATGTTGGTTTTGGATTTCCGCTATTTTGCTAATTAACCCTGGAAGTATTTTTATTGAGAGTCAGATAATTAAGAGATTGGTTTCTGTGCTCTGGAGTCGTGGTCGTGCTGGAGAGCCGCTCCTGGGGGGCAACTGGCAGCCTCGGTAGGGTGTGAAGGACGGACTGGAACGCCCCCCTTCCCATGAGGTTTTAGTTGCCCCCGCACCCCCGGCTCACACCTGCTCTCCACAAGGCACCCATGTGGCCTCCATCTTCTTTCCAGAGAGGAGAGGGCGAATGGGGCAACACCCTTTCCCCTCCGGGCAGACATGATGGCCTGGATTAACGCATAGTCCGTTCACTTTTCTGCTCCAAGCTGCTGGGTTCTGCATTAAGTCCTTGTGCTTCTGGGGCCATGGCCGTGCTGGAGAGCCGCTTGTGGGGGGCAACTGGTGACCTCGGTAGGGTGTGAAGGATGGACCAGAACGCCCCCCTTCCCATGAGGTTTTTGTCGCCCCCGCACCCCCGGCTCATACCTGCTGTCCACAAGGCTCCCATGTGGCCGCCATCTTTCTTTCCAGAGGGAGGAGGGCGGAAGGGTATTTGTATACATTTTTTGGAGAAAAATTTCTGTTGAAATTGTTTTCCATTTGAAAACTTAGTTGTCATTTTCTTAATTACAGAAGTCCTCTGTATAATCTCTTAAAAGCAACTCATCAGCTATGTAATTTCAAGTATTTGCCCCATTCTGGGGGATATCTTTTCACTATCTTTGCAGTCACCAAAGCACACAAGTTTTAGACTTTGACAGCTCAGTTTATTCATTTTTTTATTAGCTTGGAATATATGTGTGTGTGTGTGTGTATATACATATATATATAGCATCATATCAAAGTATCCACTGCCAAATAGTTTTCTCTGAAAAGTTTAGAATTTTAACTCATAAATATTAAATGTTAATAGCTCTTTAATCATTTCAAATTAACTTTTGTATATTATGTGAACAAAGATTCAACTTTATTCTTTTGTATTCAGTTGTCCAAACACCAGTTTTGTTGTTACTTGATTTTGGGCCCCCCCTTGACTTTGCTCAGTGCTTACTCCTGGATCAGTGCTCAGGGATCACTCCTTGCAGACTCAAGGGACTATATATGATGCCAGGGATTCAACTGGGCTCAGCTGTTTGCAAGACAAGCACCTTACCCTCTCTACTATCTCTCTAGATTCAATCAAGCACCGTTTTTTTTTTAAAAAACACTTCCCCCCAAATAGTCTTTACTTGCTGAAAAGTCTGTTGATTATATAGATTTGGTTTTGGACTCTCAAAATTCCATTCTGTGTATTTTAATGCTAGCATCATATTAATTTTATTGTAGGCTTTCGGGAAGGGTAGAGGGGTCTTCAAAGAATGCTCAGGAGGCCAAGGGGTCACTCCTGGTGACAGCAAATCAGGCCCATAATTAGTGCTAGGGCCTGATACTACGGTGCTGCTCAGACTCTGCAGTGCCGTGGATCTCCAGGGGTAACCGTGGCAGTGCTTGGAGGCCTCCAGGGCTACAACTAGTGATATTTGAGAGTTTATTTGATGCCAGGGATTGATTCTAGTTCCTGAGCTTGAACCTTACCCCAGAATGATTCCGGTGGCTTTCTCTCTTCTCTCTCTCTCCTTTTCTATCCCTTACCCCTTTGTAGCTAGTTTTGAAATCAAGAAGATTTATTAAGATTTGTTATGTTTGTTATCCCTCACAATTCCAAATTAATTTTAAGCTTCTTATCACTTTGTATAAAGTTGCAATTGGGGATTCAAAGATTTAATTCCTGGATCAATTTAAGGGTTTGTTACCATCTTAAAGGTAGTTTTCCAAACCATGAATGTTAATGTTTTGCATTTACAATCTGCATGTCATTTATTTCATTTTCTTATCTAGTCCCCTGGCAAGGTCTTTTAGTAGAATGCTGAAAACAAGGAGTTGGGAATGAACATCCTTGTCTTGTTTATAATAGGGGGAAGCAGTCAGTTTTTGTTAGTTGTGGGTTTTTACAGAAGACCTTTATGAAGTTGAGGAAGGTGTTTATTGTGGTCAAATGCTTTTTATACATCTATTTAGATCAGTGCTCTTCAGTCGTTCACACTTTCAGACAGCAGTGATAAAAATAGACCAGTGTTTTTCTATATCATGGACCAGCATGAGTTCATTGACTAATGATTGAAGATTTAGATAACAATGTGATTTTAATTTTTGTTCTGTTGATATGATACAATAATTGATTATGGTAAGGTTGCAAACTCAATTTGCATTCCTGGGATAATTTTGCATTATAATGTGCACTAATAATGCACAATTTGCATTAGTGACAGTGTATGATCCTTTTTTTATTGTTTGTTCTGTTTGAGGAATTTTCTACTTGTATTTGACATTTATGAAAATCCAGTGGTGAATTTACCTAGCCTTGACTCCCTCCCTTCCTCCAAGTACTACTTTTACTTTTAAATTCACTATCTTTACTAATTAGAGAGCTGATCAGATTGGTTATTTCTTCCTAAGTTACATGTGGCAGTCTGTTTCTTTTTTAGAAATGTTCCATTTCACACAGCTTATCTAAATTAATGGCACAAAACTGCTTATGGCACTCATTCACTGTACTTTTTTATTCCTATAAGATTGGTGATAAAGTCTGTAAATTTCTGAGTCAAGTATTTGAATTTCTTAAACTTACAATATATATTTTTTGTCTAAACATTTCTTTAATCCATGTTTTTTTCCCCAAAATACCTATCTTTCTGTTTCATTGGTTTTTCTCTATTTTTTCTGTCTGTTAACAAATTTTTGACTCATCAATTTCTTCATTATTCTTTGTCATTTCCCAGCTTATGCTTAGTTTTAGTGGCATGTTCTTTTCAGTCTCAGGGTAGAAGGCTGGGTAATAGATTTAAGATCTTTCTTCTCTCTTAACCCCTCCATTTATAGCAATAAACTTCCCTCTAAGCATTGCATTTAGCTATACTCTATAGGTTTTGTATATTTCCCATTTTATTCATCTCAAAATATTTTCTAATTTTCCTGTTATTTCTTCT